TGACTCTCCTACTGCACTGGCAAGAGTTTTGGGCACCTCTTGCACCTCTCCAGCCTCCCGGTCCCTCTCCACTGATGTGTGGGAGGGCTAGATTTTAGCCCTATGTCTGTGCTGAGCCACTACCAAGGTCTATAGGTAAAGCCTGACCTGGATGGAGCAGTTGATTTGCCAAGCTAAACCCTTCAGGCACCTCAGAAACATCTTAGGAGTCACTCCTGCAATGAGCCCACCAGTTCTCAACAGTTGCCTTCCCAACATGTGGCAAGGCAAGCACAAGTCCCCAGCACCAGGGCAGTAAGGAAAGAGGGTGAAGATGTGTATTTGTGTGCGTGGAGGGATGCTCAACCAGATTGAGCATGAGGAGCTACCTGCCCCTCGTCATGGTCTTCCTGTAGAGAAGGTTCCCACTGCCAACCCCACGCCCAGCTTCTCCCTTTCAGGTGTGATCCTGGCTCCCCCTGGGACTTTTTTCTCCTCAGTTTTGTGAAGGCTAAAATCCCCATCTGCTCCTTCTCTGGACTGTGAAATTGCAGAGCCCTTTGTTTTCTGCTCCCCATAACTCTCATCCCGCTGGTTACCTCTTGCTGTCACTCCCTGTTTTGTTTAAACCCAGCGGTTCCCCAGGGCTGGTGACCCTCCGAGCGAGCTGAGCTCCAGAGAAAGGATTTTTACATCTCGCTTGGATGTGCCATGTCGGGAAAGGTTAATAAATCACATACCTCATTCCTATGCTTGGGGTGTGCTTGGTCTCTTGGCCGTTCCTGAATAAGCCAGACCTGGTAGGAGGGACATGAGGACCGTCGTAGCTGTGTCTCCAGTTGATGGTTGGGACTGACCTTGCTCTGACCATGTGACTTTGTGGTAGATCTGCTTGACCCGGATGTGATGGGACCAAATCTGTGATTCCTCCTCCCCACCTTAGGGAAACTTTACTGCAAATCTGATGAGTTGGCTTTCCCATCAAAATGTTTCTCCCCTAAACCACAGCTCCCATGAGGGATGGGAAATGAAACAGGTCCTTTTGTTTCTAAAGAACCAAAAGTAGGTGTCTGAAGTGTTGCTGGATCACCTCTTCCAATGATGTGTCCCTTAAACCCTGGCTTTATCTGGAAGGATGCCCAGCACCAACCCACTGCTGCTGGCAGCAAGCAGGGCTCTTGGTAAGTTGTACTAGTGGCTCCTTGCTCTTCCATCTCAACACCACCTCAAGCACCTCAGCCTTGCTAAAGCAGGTACCTTTGAACCTTTACAACCCACCCTGCATGAAGCACAGCTGCTGGGCGCAGTGGGGTTTGAGCCACTCTCCCCAGGGACCTCCTGAGAGGTGAGCAGACCTGCTCTTCACAGGCTTTCAAAGGTCCCATGCCCTCTTGCTGGGGACCTTGCAGCACCATTGGTGTGGGTTGGCAGTGAATGAGGCTGAGCTCGGTGCTTTGGGGTTTGCTTGGAGTTGTCTTGGCATCTTCACACAATTTTGAAGCTCCTTGGGTGGGAGCCATTTCTTTTCCCAGGAGCCTGACCTTCCTCATTTTCTGGTCAGGGAGGGGGCTCTCTGCCTTCTGCTGCTTCCTGCAGGTGCTGCCCTGTGCGCTCGGATGCTCCAAACACCGTCACATTCACTGCCCACTAATCAAACATGATTAATCGTATTTGATTACTGTCTGGCATGTAGCACATTGTCACCAAGCCTGAGTGACAGCAGTGGCACCAGAGGCAGCTCCGAGTCATTTTCTTTTTAAGATATCAGGAGCCCAAGGGCCAAGTCTTGCTGGTTTGTTCGGGTTTTTTGTTTGTTTGTTTGTTTTGTTTTGTTTTTCCCAACCCTGGCCTTTGCAAGTGTGCGTGCTTGGGTTTGCAGGTCTGGGCATGGGAGAGGTCCAGTGCTGGTGGGGTCTGGATGGCCCACTGGTACCCTGTGAAGAGATACCCTAAAGCTGCCCAGGCAGCTCATCCCAGCTCATCTCCAGCCTGGGGTTTTGAAGGCAGCTTTGGTTAATCCCCCAAATCTTTGGCAGCTCTGGGCCATGGGTGGAGCTGGATTTCGGCTTCTGTTTACACAGCCCTGCCCAGAGCTTCTTGGAGATGTCTTGGCAGGCGTCAGACTGAGGCCGAGGTTAAAGATGACAGCCCTAGGAGGAAAACAGGAGGTGGCTTCATTGATTTGATTGTTTTCTTTCTCTTCTTTGACATAAGCAGGGTGCCCTGGGGGGGAGCTGAGCTTTTCATGGCTGAGCTTCTTCATGGCGGCTTCTTGCCTCTTCTCTAACATCCCCCCACCTCCCTCCAACACCATCTGTATGGCCATGGGATAGCTCTACCCCTGTGCACCCCCAGTCCTTTCCAACCAACGCCTGAACTGATGGTGAGGTGGTTCACAGAGTTTTTCTGCCTGAAAACAGCCCTTAATGAAAAACTGCCCAGATGGGGAATGGAAATTCAGGTCTCGGTTATGCGATGGCTTTGCAAATGTGAGGGACAGAGAGAAGCCTATGGGGCTTGTGGCCTCCCGGAGTTGCTGGTGGCCATAGTGGTGGGTCAGGGTGGTGATGCCCAGTGTGATATCACCTGTAGCATCCAACCGAGAAGCTGTGTGGCAGAATGCCCTGTTTGTTATGAGTGAGCAATGCTTAGTATTGCTAGTAATTTGCCATTTACTCAATGCTGTGAGTAAACCAGGTGAACATAGAGGAATTCACCTTTCTAGTAACAAAACAGCAAAGCTGGAGGGGAGTAGCAGCTCTGCAAGGCAGGCAGAGGCTTTGGGGCATGTTGAGAGCCTAAATTTTATTTTTTTTATCCATAAAGCTCCAAACCCTTTTACCAGCTGACGTTGTGGGAGTAAGCTCCTGTAGCCAGCTATTCCCAAGGAGGAGAGGACTCTGTCTGGGATAAAATTGATGTTAAATGTTGTATCTTATGAAATGAAATTAAACTCTCATTGGGGCTGCAATGTTTTCCACCCTTTCTGCCTGTAATGGGAAAAATATGCGCCTGGCTCATTAGCATCAAAAGCTGTGTTCGTGCAAGGAGCTGTTGGCTGTTTCTGGGCTATTTCTCCCTCGGGACCATCACAGAGACCTCGGTGCCGTACCCGGATGGTCCTGGCATACGACAGCTCCTCAGCTGCCCCTTTCCTTACCCTGCAAGCTGAATTGTGGGGCTGGAGGGCTTGTGTGGAGGCTTGAGGCTCTGGGACTGTTGCTTTTGAGCTGAATTTGGCACCGCTGCTTTCTCCTGCCTGCTGCAGGCAGCAGTGGGGGGGTAGTTTTGCTTACCCTATAAATGCATCTTCTTTTCAGGGTCGTTGAAGGGAGCTGTTGCAGCACTCAAAGGGCTTTGGAAGGGGGAGGTGGGGGGATGCTACAGTACTGCAAGGGCTTAGGGAGGGCAGTGGGGGTGGGGGAAAGGGGTGCCACTTTAGCCGGGAGGGTTGGTGATGAGCTCTGGGTACCCTAATGTAGATGCTGCAGAATCATTTGAATTTATAGGTTTGTTGCAAAGAAAGTACCCCCACTGATATGTGTATTTTTTAAAAAAAAAAAAAAAAATGGAGAAAGTATATTTATTGCTGTCCATACAGCTTTTAGTTATAAGGCGAGGATGGCTGCAGGGGCCTGTCCAGCTGCTGCCAGCAGAATGCACAGGAACTAGACCACCCGTGCTTCATAGTGGGGGAGACAGAGATGCTGAGCCCCTCCCCGGCCATGAGACAAGGGCTCCCCCAGCACCCCAGGGCAGCCAGGTGTACGGTATGTACATCTTGCATGGAAGCACGAAAGCACTTAAGGAGTGTGTTTATGGCTTATAGGTCAGTTTAACTTTTCTTTGTTGTCTGGGTTTTCCCAATATTGCTTTTACCTGCACCGTTATACATCTCCTACTCAGTTTCCTGTCAGATAGGAGCACTGGGAAATTCTTTTGGTCTCTTTGGGCTCGATCCTTCCCTGCTGGGGTCAGACCTGGAGCAGCACAGCTCGGTGGGTCCAGCCCAGCCAAGCATTTCAGACTGCAGGCTTCAGCAGTGAAAGGGAAGCGAGGAGGAGGAAAGTCATAGAATCATAGAGTCATAGAATGACCTAGGCTGGAAGGCACCTTAGAGATAATCTAATCTAACCTCCCTGTCATGGGCAGGGACACCTCTCAGCTAGATCAGGCAACACATGGGGAAAATCAGCCATGTCACGTCTGGGAGAGGTGCTGAGGGTGTCAGGGAACATGCAGGAAAGGTGAAGGCACCCTGGATGCTCCCAGCACCCAGCCAGCAGGAGCCCTTTGTGCTCCTGCAGGGATGAAGCCTGTAGAAAAGTTTCTCCTGATCCACTAAAATGGTCTCAGCCAAGCCCGTGGCCCCATCTGATGTGTTCTGCCACACCCATCTTGCTCACAAAGCACTACTGCATCTCTGTTCACCAGAGCTACATGCCCTGAGACCCCATGGCCAGGCAATTCCCCCACTCTGGGACTGGCTCTTCTACTTCTGGGGCTTCACACGAGGTTGGGGGTAGGAAGGATGCACCTGGCCAAGAACCTGGGTGCTGGTCACAGCAGGGATGTTATCTTTGGTACCGCTGAACCAATGGGGCTCTCTTTGCAAGAGACCTCCTTCCTGGTCACAGCTTGCTGCTGTGGGTGGAGGAAGGCTCTGGTGATGGGTAATGGTCACCCTGTCAAAGGTAGACTTTCATCCTGCAGCTGCACTTTGGTCTCAGGAAGGAGATAAGTCAGGAGGTGGCAGATTTGAACATCTGGAAAGTGGCAGCACGGTGAGGATCTGCTCTAAATCACCTGAGCTTGCCTGAAGCTCTCAACCAATGGAGCCCAACCCTGACCCCCATCTAAGGATGGGCTGAACTACCAGCCCTGGGCCTGAGTCTTGGCCCCCTTTGACTCCTGACCACCTGCAGATCCCAGAAGCTCAGCAAAGGCATGGCACTACGTGAAGATAAATGCTACAGAAAGAGGGGGAACCCCCGAGGCACCATTTCCTTCCCCCTCCCCTTTTAATAGCAGAGCGTGATGCCCAGAGCCAGCAAGAAGACCCCCAGGAGGACCTGGGGCACCACTCCTCCAGCCCTGTTCTTCGACTCCCTTGGCATGTGGTAAATGATCACCAGCTTTTCTCCGCCACTGGAGAGATCCATTTCATCCCCTTTATAGCAGCTCCGACCCCCGAGATGGCTGGCTTGGGGATCATCTCGGAGCAGGTCTTCAGCTGGATTCTCCGACCCAGCCAAGGCCACGTTAACCGAGACATCCCGCATGCCCACGTCATTGACAGCGAGGCAAGTGTAGATGCCTTCATCCTCCTTGCTGAAGTTGGGGATGGCCATGGTGCCATTTTTGAAGACCAAGAAGCGCGCTTGGCTCTGCTTAACGTTTCCATCCCGTGCCACATTGGGCCCACTGATCTCAACACGGCGGCTGGAGGTCTGGATCTTCCACCTGATCTCTGGTAGGGGGTTGCCTGCCACACTGCAGTGCAGCATCAGGGTGAGGCCATCATACGTGACGGTGTTGTCCACGTTGGAGAGGTAGGTGAGCTGCACAGAGGGGGCAACACAGTGGTGGTCGGGGATGTCTGTTACTGCTCTGCCCTTCAGCCTGCCAGGAGCCACACACAGGGTAGATCCTCCCTGGGCGATGGAGACAGAGGTGTTCTCAGTCCACTTCTTCAGCCAGAAGACCTTGCAGGAGCAGTTGAAGGGGTTGTTGAAGATCTGCAGCTGGGACAGGGAGGGCAAGTTGTCAAAGGTTCCCTCGGCCAAGGTGGTCAACTCATTGTCGTTGAGCCAGAGAGAACGCAGGTCTTTCAAGGAGTGGAAAGCATCCCGAGGCAGCCCAGCCAGGCGGTTGTTGTTCATCTTCAGGATCTGCAAACCACTGAGGTTACGGAGGTCCTGCCAGGGGAAATCTGCAATCTTGTTGTGGCTCAGGTCCAGGTTCTTCAGGTGCACTAACAGAGCAAAAGCCCCTGGTTCCACCACCCCAATCTGGTTGTAGCCCAACCACAGTGATTGCACTTCAGGAACCTCAGTGAATGAGCCTTGCCCCAACCAGCCAATCCTGTTGACTGACAAGGTGAGGATGGTTACATTGGAGGACAAGCCCTTGGGTACCTCCTGGAGATCCTTGTAGGCACACTCAGCCAACAGCCGCCCATTCTTCTTGGTGGAGCAGGAGCAGGGGCTGGGACAGGCCAGGCAGGGTCCCAGGAGCATGGCCAGCCCCAGGCAGCAGAGCAGGGGTCTCATCATTCCTCCTGGGAACAGAGATGGGGGAGAATGAACGGGATGGGTTGAGCTGAGATAGGGATCTGCTTTTTCTTGCCAAGTCCTGTGAGGAAGCAGCAGAAGAGTGAAGCGTCTATGGGATTATCCCCAGTGCTTCAGCTGGAAAAGGCTGTCTGAAATATCCCCTTATCTGAAGAAGGCATTTCCTTGCCAAAAGCAGAGTATTTGACTGCCTACATGAGTAGGGAACTTACCCCTAAACCCTTTCCTTCCCCGCCGTAGAAAATGCCTCTTTTTTGAAATACCCTACCCCACCCCACAAATGCGGTTTCCCCACGTTTTGGGATAAAAAGCAATAGCTGGGTCTTCAGAGTTCACTCTGATGAGCCTGGAATTAGGATAAATGGAGTAACCACAGCTCTTTCACAACCAGCCTTCCCCTAAACCATCGAGCCCTTGAGATTTTTTCAGCACGCTTTCAGACCTCAAACCAACCCCCCCATCTCCATATTTTAACATGTCATGGAAAAAAACACAGCTTCTTGAGTGTATTTTCTCTGCAAGAGAGTGTGGGGTCCCTGGCTCCTGGAAGTCTTTAGAGTGAAATATTTCTGAGCTAACTCCTTACTCCCCTTCTTGCCTTGCAAAGGAGATGGTGCACGCTCTGTTCCCGAGCTGTGTCCCACCAGGGAAGAGGTTAACTACAGCTCTCGGAGTTGCTGGCAGTGAGACCCCTTTGTCTCTGCCCTGTAGGCAAGTTTTTGCTGCTCCTTACAGTCCCCAACCCTGTCATTTAGAGCAGGAGAGGGGAGACATTTTATTGGCAAGGGAGAGGTTGAATAAGACGTGCACAGCTACTTGGGGGCGGGGGAAGGGGACACAAAGGGTCCTATCCCGCAGGCCTAGGGATGAGGTTCAAGAGCCAGGGAAGGAGCCCCGACAGCTCTGGGGGTGATGGAGGGGTGAGA